AAAAAAAAAGAAAAAAGAAAAAAAAGGCCGAGCTGCAATGCGATGCAACAGGATGCATGTCCACTGCAACGACTTCGGCGGCAGCACGCACAGCCTGCGCTCGCCAGCCGCCCTCATACTGTACCCGCTGGGCCTTGGCCTCGCTTGCAACGTCTCCGCTCCACCAGGAGCAGCGTGGCCAAAAGATCAACAAGCGTGGGCGGGACGCCTGGGGAATGAAAGGCACAAGGATGCATGCAACCGATGCGACCAGCTACCGTTCCTCACACGACCGGCGCTGCTTCGGACCTTGGGCTGGCTCCGACCAAAGATCGGTCCTTCCTTATGCGCCTAGCTAGGCCGTCTTTCCTGGCTAGGTCGGGTCAGCTGGCACAGGCGCCGACACTCCACACACAAACGGTCAAGTTCCAGAGGAGCGGCACGGCCAGCTCACGGATTCAGGCTGGAGTTGCCGCTGGACATGCACGAGCGCGGAGACGAGCCAAATAGCGCAAACAACATGGCCCAGTGGACAGGCAGGCCTCTGAAGATCAGGAGAAGCGGTCGACTGCTCTGCCGCCCGGTCATTTCTGATGTCTTGTGAGACAAGACTGCCGTCGCTGCACGAGCAGATGAAATTGCTCCGCGGTCGCTCTGCCCTCCCGCCAGAGCCAACGGGCTTTTTTTCCTTTCCTTTTTTTTCTTTTTTCTTTTCCTGGTGCCAAATTGTTCGGATTTTTCACGCCCAACGCGCTGAAGGTGGGCGCGACAGGCAAAGGGCGGCGGTGGGTTGGCGGGCCCAACTGGTTGAATTGTTTTGGCGAGCCTGATCGCTGACCGATATGGCATTGCCGCTGCCTTCATTGGCTCGGTCTCTCACTCACACTCGTTTCAGGCGCGCCAGCCCGGCTCGTGTGGCAACAAGTTACAGTAGGAAATCATGCCTGTGAGAGAACCCTGTCTCGGATTCGACTTGGCTCGACCCTGTCCACCCGTTGCATCACTGCGCCTCTGCGCCCTCGGCACCTCTGCTCGACTGCATCGCCGCATCACCGCTCTGTCACCCTCGCGCGACCACCCTTGGCCCAACTCTGGCCGCCCTCTCTCCACTTTTGGCGTTCGGGTGCGGACCGCTACTCAACCTCCCCGTGCACAGCTACTGTACCGCGCGATGCAGCTTCGTTCGCAGACGCTTACTGCTGCTATCTGTCCGGCCGGCCCTATCGTCGTTTTCCCATTTCGCGCTCCTCGCCTCGGCTCGCCTGGCCTGGCCCGGCCTGGCCTCGTGCCTCCCACATTCAATCAAATCAATCTAGCCTGCAGATTCCGCCCGCGCGCCCGCGCTCTCTCTCTCTCAACTTCGCCTCTGCTGCCGCTCACTTACGCCGCCCTCCGTTCCGCCCGACGCCGGTCGCGACCTTGATCGATTGGCACCTCTCCCCATCTCTCCGCTCAACATCGCCCTCCCGCGTCCTCGTCCTCCGCCAACTCCATTGTCACTGCCATCAATCTCATCTCCATTACCCTCCACGCCTCGCGCCTTTCTGGATCACCACCACCTCGCCCTCTCCGCGGCCATCGCCACCGCGAACTGCACCACCATCGTCCCAACGATTCCACGCGAGGCCGCGATCCGTTCCAACACGGCTTTATCCTTGTCGGCCGCTTCCATCTTCGCATCGCTTCCGACGACCTCTTTCGATCAACGTCGTTCCCTTGCCTTCTCACGCACGTCGGTCCTGCCGATTGATCGCACGACACCGCCGCCTCCTCGGCTCATGTTTGCTGCTGCACGTGCTCTTTTCAAATCTGGAGTCGCACCTTGTCAGCATCTAACCACCTCGTCTTGGCACGCTTCCGACTCGCTGTCGAGCCGCCGCACGCTCTGAGCTTTCTCATCAACCACACGCGCTGCACGCATCCGCCTCGTGTTCTTCGTCTTTGAGGCATCTCACCCGCTTGCCTCTCCCCACGTTTACAAGCTCACGGCCCGACATCACCGACGATCTCCGACTGCACAAGTCCCGAGCTTACTTTGGCTTCCTCATACAGCGGTGAGCGAGCGAGTCGCGTGCCACGATCCACCATACACGGACGATCCTCTGCACCTGCCTTTCCGCCTAGCTCGCTGTAGCCCCCGCCCACGCTGAGCATTTCGACTCGGGCGTTCCAGCAGTTCCAGCGGAACAAGCGACAATCCGGAATTCCCGCACCGTCACGAGTGCATCCGCTTCTTGACACACTCAGGCTCCAGTCTGGATCCACAGAAACAATGACGTCCACCACGTAAGTCCTGCTTCTCATCTGCCGAGCACCTCGCGGAACATCTCTGCGATTTCCGGTCGCATCTCTGCGCTGCGCCCAAGGCATCGTATCGATTGGCAGCGCGGACGACCCTGGCCAGTCCAGAGTGAGCGAGCACGCGAGACGCGCTGCAGCTGCGCGTTTTGTTCTTGTTTTGTTCTGATTCGGGACGCCCGCTTGTCCGCACGGCTGCCGCGCCACACTTCCGACGCAAGTCATGCGAGCCGTTTAAGCTTCGCAACCTTGTCGAGGCTTGGCACGCTTCTCTGGCGCAGGAATCGCCTCCTCATGGCCTCATCTGCAGCCGTAGCTCGATGCGTCGCCGCCCGCCCGGTGCACGCGGCTTCGGCTCGCGAGCGTCGCAGAGCTGCCGCGCCAAGCGTCCAGGTTCGGCGGACGGCAACTGTTGCTGTTGCTCGTCTTGCGGCGAATCGGCCCGTCCCAACACTGGTCGCGGTGGGGACGGTCACGAGGCCGCTTGGCAACAACTGCGCCGTCGACCTACTCCTTCCGTCGTGTTGGTCCCTCATCGTCGCCGCTACGGACACCGATGCTCCCGCAATGCTTTTTGTTTGCCTGGCCTCACTGCGACATACGCTGACCTTGAACCCCTCTGTCCTTTCGATCTCGTCGATCTCCGCCTTTGCATCCTTGACACCTTCAGCGACCACGGTGACAAAGCCTACAGCAACGTCATTACATCCACGTGCACTCCTGGCCCTTCTCCCGTCAGCACTCCTGGTGCCATGTCCGCATTACCTCTTCCCATGGCTGGCGGCCAACATCACCACCCGCCTTCGATGCCCTCCAACTCAATATCCATCGCCGGCGCCTCTCAAGATCAACATACACCCGGCAGCTACGGCCCTTCCTCCGTGAACGCATCTTCCGACATGGGTTCGGTCATGACCGAAGACGAGGAGGACCTCGAAGACTACGGCAAAGGCGGCTACCACCCCGTGCACGTCGGCGACACCTTCTCCGACGGCCGCTATCTCATCGTCAGGAAGCTCGGCTGGGGCCACTTCTCCACCGTCTGGCTCGCCAAGGACAACAAGATGAAGAGGCATGTCGCGCTCAAGGTCGTCAAGAGCGCTCCACACTACACGGAAACTGCACTCGACGAGATCAAGCTGCTCCAGCGCCTCGTCTCTGCCAACCCAAGTCACCCGGGCAGGCGCCACTGCGTCTCCCTCCTCGACCATTTCAGACACAAGGGCCCCAACGGCTCGCACGTCTGCATGGTCTTTGAGGTGCTCGGCGAGAACTTGCTCGGCCTCATCAAGCGATACCAACATCGCGGCGTGCCTCCGCACATTGTCAAGCAAATCGCAAAACAGGTGCTCCTCGGCCTCGACTACATGCACCAGGAGTGCGGCATCATTCACACCGATCTCAAGCCAGAGAACGTGCTCATCTGCATCGACGATGTCGAGGCGGTCGTCGAGGCAGAGTTGCGGTCCAACCCGGCCGCCGTGCCCACCAAGCTCGTCGGCGTTCCGCCAAGTCAGGGCCGTGGCGGGACTCAGACGCCCAAACGCGACGGCATCTTCATCACGGGCTCGCAGCCGCTGCCGAGTCCAAGCAGCAGTCTCGGATCCAGTCCCATGTTTGACAAGTGGGCCTTTGGCATGTCCAAGATCGACAAGCCAAGCGTCAGCGACAGCGAAAACGGCTTCCGCAGCGGCGCCAGCAGCGAAGCTGCAGGGTCCAAAGGTGGATCCCTCGTCACAGGCAAGGAGCGCGAAGGGTCGACCGACGTCATTGGACACGGAATCTCGCAGCTTAGCACCCAAGCCTCCAGCAGCCTGCCAGGCGATTCGTTCGGCAGCAGGACGACCACGGGCGTTCCGCAGCAAAAGGGCCCCTCGCTCCTGTCCCTCGGAGCACCACGCCTTCCGCAGGCGCCCGCGGCAGTCGCTTCGAGCTCAGCCGCACCACTCGCAGAAGCAGCTGCCGAACCCACCGACTCTCCGTCGCCCATGTCGATGGACTCACCGAGTCCCACCGATCGCCACGAGCCTACACCCATGGACCAAGAGATGCACCCGCCAGCGCCCGCCGCCGGCGATCCCAACACCCTTCCTCCGCCGCCACCCTACGATCCCAGCTCGCTGGAGAGAATCACTGTCAAGATCGCCGACCTGGGCAACGCGTGTTGGGTCGACCACCACTTCACCAACGACATCCAGACTCGTCAGTACCGATGCCCCGAGGTCATCCTCGGCGCCAAGTGGGGCCCCAGTGCGGACATGTGGTCGGCAAGCTGCATGTTTTTCGAACTGCTGACGGGCGACTACCTCTTCGATCCGGCCGCCGGCACCAAGTACAACAAGGACGACGACCATGTAGCTCAGATCATCGAGCTGCTCGGCGACTTCCCCAAGAGCCTTGCATTTGCAGGCAAGTACAGCGCCGACATTTTCAACCGTCGCGGAGAGCTTCGCCACATCCACAAGCTGCGCTTTTGGCCGCTCATCTCGGTGCTGCAGGAGAAGTACCTCATGCCGTACAACGAGGCCAACGAGCTGTCCTCCTTCTTGATGCCCATGCTCCGCTTGCACCCGGAGAAGCGGTCCGGGGCGAGAGAGCTGCTGGACCATTCATGGATCGAGGGCATCGTGGTCCAGGGCGAGATCGAGCAGGCCATGAGGCAGGCAGGTATCGACGTCGATGCGCTGACAGCAGGCAGTCCGTCGGGTATGTCGTTGCCGCCTGGTCTCACACCGAGCGAGGCCGATGCGCTCAAGCCTGTCGGGTCGGTGTCGAGCAGCCCGGCCCCATTGGCGTTGAACATGCAAGGTCTCGAGGATGCCAAACGTCGCGCCGCACAGCACCAGGCTGATGCTGCTGCTGCTGTGGCGGCTTCGCAGAACGGAGCATTGCAAACGACGAACGCGTCCAACGCCGCACCTGCTGCGATGTCCCACTCGCGCGACCCCGTTCATGCGCTGCAAGCCGAAGCGTTGGAGCGATCGTCGTCGAGCGACGGCGCTGGCGAGTCGCACATGACGATCAAAGGGCTCGGCTCGGAGGATGCGAGTAACAGCCGCTCGGTGTCGACGCCAAAGCTTACCGGGCAGGCGCAGGCGGGCAGCTCGAGCAATCGCGAGGCCGGCTCACCCTCGCCGCAGGGTCTGCCGCGTCCAGTCGCAACCACAGTCCAGTAGATGTGTGGCGCTGTGCCCTCGAGCTGTTGCCATCTAGTCTTGCCTGCCATATTCTCGCCGCCATACGCTCGCTCATGTTTCTTGCACTCTCCCGACCTGTCGTTGTCGCGCCGCATTGCCCGCCTCCAGCTTGTACCCACCAGATACCATTTTTACGCGCACGCGTTTTGTTTCATGCCTTGCCTCTTTTCCTCAGCTTTTGTACGATCGTGTTCCAGGCTCCTCTCGCTTGTCTTCTTTCTTCCTTCGTAATCCCTAGACGTTCCGTGATTCACACGAGGCTCACGGCCAGCAGGCGCGACTTGTTAGAGAGAGGGGAAACAGAGATGTGGATTAGGACGGACTGCGATACGAGTACAGCGAGGATGCAAGCGATACAAATACAAAAGGGAGCGTGGTGGTGGGGACTTGTTGCTTGCGGACCTGCGCAAGAGGGTTGTGGAGGAACGGTCTAGTAGTGGTTTGCGAACGAGTGGTCCCAGTGGTGCGAAAGCGATGCGCCTTGCGCCTCAAAGTTCCAGCCAGCGTCAAAGTCGGACTCGGGCGCCGAGGGAAAACTGCGTCTGGAAGAGCGCGTTGCCGAACTTGAGCGTGTGGCGCCCGATGATGTCCATGATGATGGCGGTGGTGGCCGGAGGACCGAGCTGGGCTTGGAAGCGGCGTGGCTGGATCGCGATCTGGAGCGAGGCAGCGTTGCCGAGCGCAATGGCGAAGCCGACTGCTTGGCAAAGGGCGAGATGACGAGATCCTGGATGATGGACGAGTATGCCGAAGGCGTGCTGTACCGACGCTGCTCGGTGGGTGAGCTGACAATCATCGTAGAGCTGGAGCGATGCTCATTGGATAGGTCAAGCTTGTTGCGCGAGCTCGGCTCTGGCAGAGAGGAGGAGCGCGATGGCGAGACAATCGACGACGGCAGCGTGCCCAACGATGTCCACGTCGTCTTGCTGACACGCTCGGTGGGAGCGAGGTCCGAAAGCTTGGCGCTCAGCGCATCGGCACTAAGCTCGCCCTCTTCTGCGTCTGTGCGCGGTGACATGACGCCGGGCGAGGTGCATTCACTTTCGGCATCATCCGAAGCACCGCCGCTGCGCGACCAGATAGAGCTCGAGTCGTCACACACGGAGCTGGAGTCTTCGGTCTCGGTCAGGTCCGAGGCAACTGAGAGCGTCGGGCTGGTGGGAGAGGCGGCTTCGTCCTCGTCGCACTCGGCGGGCTTTTCGATGTGCTCTTGCTCATCCTGTCCGGGGTTGCTTGCCCTGTTGTAGCCCAGGATGCGGGCGGGCGCGGGCTCTTCAAGGCGCACGCTGGCTTCCTCGACGGTGTCATCCATATGCGAGCTCGTCGAGGGGCGTCGCGGCTTCTTATTGCCGTAGTATTCCTCGAAACGGTAGCCCTGCGGACCTTTGCGTCGGCGCCCGATGGGGGAGCCTTCCTTGTCATAGATCTGATGGACGGGATAGGCGTAGGTGCCGTTCCAGTACAAGCCGTGCTCGTCCCAGCCCAATTCCTCGGTCTTGACGGGAACAAATAGGACTGACTTTTCGTATGTCTGTTCTGGGAGTGCACTCGAGAAGCGTGCGGGCTCATCGGGCGGTGTGATGATGATCCTTGGAACTTGAACGCGGTGATGGGCCTTGGCAAGCTGAGATGCCTTGATAGTCAAAGCAGGCTTGAGGCTGGATGATGGAGCCGATATGCATGTGGCGCGAGTGGGAGTGGGCTGTGCGGCCAGCATGGCTGCTGATGAAGACATTGGAGAGGCAAGGCGATGGAGAACGGAGTCGTTCGTGCGAGGAGAGGGGTCACTCGCTGATGCGGTCGCTATTCCATGCCAAAAGGGCACGAGTGATAAGGAGAGCTTCGGATCGCGGCGTGCAATGCTCGAATCACGGACGGCGGCCTCAGTGCTTTTGTACTCGCTGGTGCGGGCGAGTCAGGACGTACGGGGATGGCAACCAAGACCTCGCTGATGGGTTGGAGAGAGATGTGTCGACTGCAGCAGACGCAGAGGGTGGTTACTCGGCCACGGGCGATTGTGCGTGGCTTGAGGAGTGCGTGATGTGGGTCTTGGAGGTGCGAGTGACAGGCTGATGGAGCGAGAGATGAGCGGTTCGGAAGGGAGCCGGCTAGTTTAGGGCCAGGCTGATTGAAGCCTCCTTTTAGCGTGCTGTGCAGGTGGCGGAAGGTGAAATGAAGAGGCGTTCGGATGCGTGGATGCAGGAAGCTGTCAGGTGAATGCAGTGAAGAGATAGCGGGCGGGGGCTGGGAGCATGCAGGGTGGCTGTAGGGAAGGTAGCATGTACTAGTCAGATGGTGTGGACAGAAGAGGGCGGGACTACCGATAGCGCGAACTCGAACCCGGGCGGCGGTCCATATACGTTCCCGAAGGAAGGAACCAGAGTGGTGGCGTCAGGACGCTGCTGGGGACCGAGTTCAGCACCCCAGCAGTGGACTGTATGCAGCAGTTGACAGGGTGCTGCTAAGAGTTAGTGGCGCCCTCTAGCGTCCAATGCGCTTCAACGCGGAGCTGCATCCCACCCATGTCGCATTGTGCCACAGCTGCAACACCCACATGCTACCAAATCGCCCACGCTTTCTGCCGCACCCTCCCAAAACGTGTTTGCGATACGACCCGGCGGGGACACTGGGCTGACCTAGACGGGTCTCACAGCTGTGCTATAGACCAGCTGTGTTTTGCGCATATGCGCGCGAAGCACTCGACAAGTCATTGTCGGCGGTCGATGACGAGCACAGCGCTGGCACCTGAAAGCAAGTCATGGAGACCGGCGTTAGGGCTATGTTGGCGGCTCACCATGGAAACACCCGCCGGATGCCAAGAGCGCTCAACTTCACGGGGCGGTATACGGCCTGAGGCGGGCGACGTCGGAGGTTTTGTTTTTTGTTGATTTAGTTTTATTTTATTTTATTTTATTTTATTTTT